GTTAGCTAACAGCTGGTAATTTTTCAGGTTTTCTCTATTTTTCTGCGACTCCTCCATTGGGTCTGGAAAACTACAATGAATCAACCCCATGCATGCAAAAAATCACAAACAAAAAAATAAACAAGAATTCACCCTCTTTGCTGCGTGTAAGTGTCCCCACATTACATGCAGGACTTTAAAAAGGCTGCTTATTGTGGAGTTTGTACCAGTCCCACTGTGGGATCCACTTATATAAGTCATTGTTAAAGTTTGGGGAACATCTGAATTCAAATATGGGGCAAGCCCATTAAAACAATGACAGATGGGGCAAAGCCATTAAAGCGAGGATGCGTAAGCTTGACAAAAAATGTATAAAGCTCTTTCTTTTCCATAAACAATTCAAGGTATTTTGCCTCTTAGAGAAACACAACAATCCTTGGATTGTTTGAAAGTAGAAGAGCTGCTGTATGCAAGAGATCCTGGGTGGTGCTAAACTGTGCAAGAGTGCTGGCCAGCTCTGCCGGAGGCTGGTGGGGCTGAATGAGTGGCACTCAACAGGAGGATCAGCACCTCTGGAAAGAGATGCCTGACTCTCACAAAGGAGCTATTCCACTGGGGAAAAATCAGTGGGAATCAACCACCTGAACTCTTGTTGAAAATCAGACCTCGGAGGTTAAGCCCTGCTTAGTTGTAACTCTCAAGGCTCTCAAGGAAGAAACACGGGGCTGTTGTGCTGTAAGCACAGTGAAAGATATCAGGGCGCTCTCCTGCATGCAGACTCCTTTCCTCTGGGGTGTGAAAGCATGATGGCTGCTCAGCAGAAAAAAATAGCTCATGGTCCAGAGACCTCCTGGCATCAGCACTACTAACAACCTCAGCAACACCGCTTCTTACAAGGAACCCAAAGACCAACGGCATGGACCTAGAGCACCTCGCTACAGGGCGTTTGACCCAAACAAGCCCCAGGCTCTTGGGTGGTGACAGTACGTATCACTGAGTCTTTCTGACCTTGCTCATGTAGGAAAGTAAAATAACCATCAATGAGATGTGGTCGGGCTTTCAAAAAAGCAGGTGAAAGCAGTTTTGACCACAGTCACTGCTGACGCTCTCAGCATGAACGTTTATGATCCTGAGTGTCTGCATGTGCCATCTGTATATGTGCGCACTTGACACTGATTGAAAGCTGCCTGGAATTGCCCACAATCTTCAGAAATGTGCCCTTTGCACTGTACTAATAATCCACAAGTGTAACTGCCAACGAAGCAGGGTTTGATTTCTGTTTAACAAAAATAAAGTACCCTGTGTAAGAACAGGTAAATAAAACTTGAGCTCAGTTGCACTTTATGAAGAGAAAGCAGATCCCCAAAAGGCAGGTCTCCCTGGGCAGAGCCCAAGAAGGAAATCTGGTGGCTGTGGCTCTGGCTCTGGACTGTCTCACTCTCCCCCGTGTGCAGAGATCCTGTGGGAGGAGGGTGAATCCTCAGCACCGCATCTCTCCAGAGAGCGCCTGGTGCAGCAGATGTGTGCGAAACCTCTCCCACTTCCCCCTCTCCACACCCCCACTCCCCACCACCCTTGGCCACAGTGAAGCTAAGGTCAAGTAATTTGTGTGCCAAGTCTCCTTTCATGAACCTACCCACCTCCACTTGCTTTCCAGCAACCTTGTCAGGGTAAAACCCAGCACAGCACCAAGGGTTATGGAATTACTGCTTTTAAGTAGCAATGAGGATGCTATTAGATACAACTCAGCACCATGGGTTTCTTCCCAGTTCTCCTTTTGTTATTTTATGCTGGCCCTGGAGCGGCGGCCTGGCAGCTTCTGGCCCTGTAGGCTGTCTGCTGCGGCATGCTGCAAAGATAACAAAGTGTGATCCCAGAGATTCCAGGAAAGCATCTCGTTGTCTGACCCAGTAATGCCTGCCGTGACACAATCTTTCCCAAAGTCCACAGTCCCTGATTCCATCAGCTGCTGTCACAGACAACCAAATCAAAGGGGATAAGCTACACATTGTGGTTCCTACCAGGCAGTTCGTTGAAAATCAAGTTCCAAATTTAGGCTTTAAAGTAAACATGTCAAGGTAACCAGGTTGGTCTTTGTTTCAGGCACAATCAGCTAAACTGTTTTTTTTTCTTGTTGATGATGTTCTTAAACGTTTCTCACGTGGGATGACATTTCCTAACAACTCTCTTTGCTCCAAAAACCTACGCTCTTTCATCACCTTGGCTTTTTTCTGTCTTTTGGGGTTTATACTCCCAGCTGATCAGTTTAGCACCGGCTCAGGCTAGCCATTAAGGCTTTCGCATGATCAGCCCTGCTAAGCAGTCATTTAACTCTGCCCTGCACTTGCAGTGAATTGCCACTTGGTCTGGCCATTGATACGAGCCATCAGCATCGGGTAATAGTTCTTCTTTTCCCAAAATGGGTGAGCAGCATCTGTGGCAAGGCTAGGGCAACCCTGCTCACACAGTAAGATGTGGTAGGTGTGAAAGAAACCTCTTCCTCCTACCCAGAGAGGGAGAAAAACACACAACGGCCACAGCAGTCCAGCACAGGGAGTGCTGCAGCAGACTTCTTCCTGCCCAAGCACAGGATAATCTGAAAAAATGTCATTGCACATCCCAAGGCAAGAGGGACGCAAATTCTGTGCAATTTGCTATCTGAATTAAGCAATCCCTAAAGTCAGCTTTGAACAGCACAGAAACATGCTGTGTTCCAAGTTAGTGGTAGGAGAGCTTCAGAGAAAATTAGGAAATTTCCACACTCAGGACCATTAAATCACATTCCCTTTCATTTAAGCGAAGAAAATAAAACCTTTTGCCTTGTGCTTAATTAGTGAAAAAGGATGAGTTGACCTTCATGTGGGATGTTCACTTTTTTAAGCACCCTGCCAACATTTGCACAATTCAAAATCAAGACTCAGATGAAAGTGGTCCACATCTTTTTGACACAAACTTACACATACCTCGCACGTGTCTGTCTGAATAACCCAGGAACACTGCAACCAAGTCTATTTTAATGAAAGATTGTGAAAGCAACCTGTACCATTTCAGCCCGTGTTACTCAAGCCTCCTCTTCCTGGAACTGGCAAAATTCTGCCATTTCTTTCAAAGAGATCAAATCACTTACGTGCTTTTGAAGCTTTCTTGTTCCCCTATTTCTAATAAGGGATGTGATTTTAATTTTGGTGTTGGCATTGCGTGATTCTGAGCTTGAAACTTGGACCTGGAAAAAATACTGCACTGCTTAGGAGGTCCATAAATTAACATTTGCACCAACAGGAAACAAAAACAACTGACAGGGGAAAACTGTCCAAAGACCTGCAGGTTTCCATATCAGTGACCTTCTCCTGAGCCTAAGCTAGAAGGGAGGTTTAGACCTAAAGCCGTTGCTGTTGGGTTTAGATGCTAATTCCTAAAGTTGTTGTCAAAGAGACTGAGAACATACGCCCTGCAAAAAACTCACAGTTGGGAACTGGCGGCAACGTGTGAGCACAGCCACCCGAGGAGGCTGCCGTGCAGCAGATCACCAGCCCTGCACCCCCGGGTAGGGAAGGTGCCTCCTTGCCCTTTACAAATTGTCCTCGCCAGGCATCCTCACAGTATTTTACTAGCCTTCATCTCTCCACACGAACTCTTTTTCTACCGGTGGTTCCTGGCACATCTTCCGCCAAGACGTGGACTTTGCACAGAAAAAACAAAACAAAACAAAACAAAACAAACAACTATTCTCTAGCGCCAAAGCTATTAATAATTAACATTTGTAACACAAACCTGGTAAAACCAGTTTGCTAAAATAAAGCCGGGCATTTTATTATTATTTTAGGGTTTAGTTTAGTCATCGTGAGTTACTCGGGCTCGTATTAGCGAGTTGGGCAGGGCAGGGACTTCGCCTCCCCCCCGCGGCCCGACCCGCTGCGTGGCCGCCGGCGGGCGCACGGCCGTGGGTTCGGCCGCGGGGCCGCCGCTGCAGCCCGCCGGGTCTCCCGCGACCGTGGGCGCAGCGCCGGCTCGCCATTGCCCTCTGCAGGAACCGCCGCTCGCTCCCGCCGCCGGCCCGGTCCTCTCTTTCAGGTTTCCGCGGGGTTTTGCTTTCTCTCGGGGTTGTTTTAAATTTATCCGATTTTTTTTGTTTGTTTTGTTTTTTCCCCCAGAAGAGAACCAGCATCGCACCCGCGGTGCTGCACACCCTTCCCCCCCCCCGCCCCCAGGTCGGCAGGCTTCCTCGGACGGAAAAAGCCCATGAGCCAAAAATAGTCCGTGACCGGCACGAGCCCAGGCGCGTAAAGGGTGTCGCGGTCGGGACGCGCTTCAGAAAAATAAAGGGGGGAGGAGCGGGGGGGGGGGAAATAAAGGAAGAAGAAAGAGTTTTAAAAGGAAAAAAAAATAAAAAAAATAAAGAAAAATCCGAGAGCGAGGAGGGGGAGAAAGGAGGAGACAAGGCGCGGGGAAGCCGGGCGGCGGCTCGGCCGGGGACTCTCGGGGCCGCCGCGCTTCGCTGCGCCTCACCCACGCGCGGCGGGCGCCGCGGGGGGCAGGGGAGCAGCGGCGGAGTCAGACCGCGCGCGCGCTCTGCCGCCGCACGAGACCGCGGCTCCCAGGGCAAGCGGGGCGCGCCCGCCGGGGCACGCGGGGCGGGACGCGCGGGGCCCTCCCCTCCCCCGCCGCCGCCGCCGCCGCCGCCGAAGGTGCGCGAGGCTCCGCGGCGCGCGGGCAACCCCGACCTTCTCTCCCTCACCCCCCCCACCTCCCGCTGGCGTCAGCACCCCGCCTGCGTCACGCGGCGCGCGCGGCAGCAAAAGGCGCGCGGCAGCAAAAGTCGCTCGGGCGGGGCGGGGCGGAGGCGGGAGCCCCCTCTCCTGCTCTGCCTCCCCCCGCCTCCGGCCTCGATCGCGCGCGCACCGCCCCCTCTCCCCACGTGTCAGTTTGTTTTCGCCGTCGCCCTAGCGACGATGGGCGGGGCGAGCGCGAGGTGAGGTTATAAGAAGGGCGGCTGCGACGAGCAGCGGGCAGTGCCGAGCGGGGCGCGGCGGCGGTGGCGATAGCGGTAGCGGCGGCAGCAGCAGCAGCGGCGGCGACGACAGAAGAGCGCGGGCCGGGACGGCCCCTCCCTCCCCACTGGCACCACCGCGCCCCGTCCGTCCCGCCCGCCTCCCCCATGGCCGCGGCTCCCTGGGAAGCACCTCGCACCGCCGCCCTGCCGATGCCGGAGCCGCGTTGCCGGGCGGCGGCCGCCTCCCCGCGGCGCCGCTAGCGCCCCGCGTCCCGCTCACCTTCGTCTCCCGGTAGCGCACCACGAGGAAGGGCGCTCCCGCGGCACCACCCCAGCGGCGCTGGGCCGGTTCTCCGTGGCTGGACGGCTCGTCCGTGGCACCCCTCCTCCCTCTCCTCCTCGGCGGCGCTTGGGACGGCGCCGGCGGCAGCTCGGCGTGACGCCCCGGCGCGGATGCGGTGGGTGCTGGGCGCGGCCCCCGGCCCGGCTCGCCCCTCGCCCCCGCCGCCGCCTGACGCCGCTGTGCTCTCCCCCACCCGCAGGCAGCCCCCCGGCGAGTGCGAGATGGCGCTCAGCGGCACGCTCCTCCCCTCCATCGCCACCTTCGCGGCGGGCGCCGCGGGCCGTGAGAAAGCGGCGCGGCCCGCGGGCCCCGGCAACGTGAGTATCGGCGTCGCGGCGGCGCGGGCCGGGAGCGGGGCGGGGGCGGCGGCGGCGGCGGCGGCGGGGGCCAGCCGGGGCGGGCGCGTCGCGGCGGCGGGACAGGGGCTGAGCCGTGCCCGTCTCCCCGCAGCGGTGGCGGGAGGAGCTGTCGCAGCTGAAGCGGCCGCCGCCGGCGCTGGCGGCGCGGCCCGTGGAGGCGCCGCCGTCGGAGCTGGAGGCCCCCGCCGCCCTGGGGCCCCGCCGCGACGCTGAGGAGTTCAACGACCTGCTGGACTTCGACTTCATCCTCTCCAATTCCCTCATGCACCAGGAGCCCGCCGCCGCCGCCGCCGTGGTGGTGTCCCCCGCCGCCGCCCCGGCCCCCACCGCCAGCCCCTGCCCCGCCGGGCCTTTCGCCTACCCGCTGCCCCGGCCCGAGCCCGCCGGACTCCTCTACGGCGGCGGCGGCGGCAGCCGCGACGGGGCCCCCGCCGCCCCCTTCAACCTGGCTGACATCACCGACGTGTCCCCCTCGGGAGGCTTCGTGGCCGAGCTCATGCGGCCCGACTTGGATCCGGTGTACCTGCCAGCGCCAGCGGCGCTGCCGCCCCTGGGCAGCCTGCAGGGGAAGTTCGTGGTGAAGGCCGTGGGCGAGTACAGCCACCCCGGGCTCAGCCCCAAGAGCGGCCCCCCGACCGCCGCTCCGCCGCCTGGCACCGAGGGCCCTGGGGCCCCCTACAGCCCCCTACCGCGGATGTGCCCCAAAATCAAGCAGGAGGCCGCCCCGCCATGCACCCTGGCCCCGCCGCCACCGCACGGGAGCGGCTCCCGAGGAGCCCCCCAGCACGACTTTTCCCTGGGTCGCCCGCTGCCTGCCCGGAGTACGCCTTCGCTGGGGCCCGAGGAGATGCTGAGTGGCAGAGACTGTCTCCCCGCTGCCCCGGGGCTGAGCCACCCGCCGTTGCCGCTGCCCCCGGTGTACCCACCGGCTCCCGGTTACCCTGCCTTCCTGCCAGAGCAGCTGCCCCCCAGCACGCTCCAGTACCAAGGTGAGTCCCCGTGGGCGTGCTGGGGCGCCCGCTTTGGCGCTGGCTGCGGTGGTGCTCACTCCTCCCTGTCCATGTCCAGAGCTGATGCCACCGGGGAGCTGCCTACCCGAGGAGACCAAGCCCAAGAGGGGACGCCGGTCGTGGCCTAGGAAAAGGACGGCTACACACACCTGTGACTATGCGGGCTGCGGCAAAACCTACACCAAGAGCTCTCATCTCAAGGCACATCTGAGAACCCATACAGGTTAGTTCTTAGGCTCAGTTGGGGTGCCCCAGCTTGAGTGTGGGGTGAGCCCCTTGGACAGTGACAAGGGGGGAGCAAGGAGGCTAAAAATAGCAAATCGTAACCTTTCTCTTCTGGGTTTCTGGGCTTTTTTTTCCTCCCCCCTTTGGCTACATGAAGTCCTGTGCAGTCTTTGCTTTCTGGCTCGGCATTTTGCTTGATGGTTCAGAATGACTCAGATGTGAGCGGGTGGGTTTCTTGCCAAGGCAAAGTTTGTTGCTCCTCTCCTGCTTTGTGGCTAGCTAATAAGCAGGTAGCTGGAAGTCAGCTGGGATTTGTTGTTGCTCTGTATGGTGTGGGCCCGCTTCTGAGGAGGGAGCAGACCTATCTCTAAGCTACTGCTTTCTTTGCTCATGGTTAAACGCTTTGCACACGCATGCCTCTTGTCTTGGCTTGCTCTAGTGCAAAAGATCGTGCACCTCTGCAAGCTGATGTTCCCTTTCTGAGGAAACTGATGGGCCCCTCACAAGTGGGCCTTTCAACTGTGCTGGCAGCACTGACGGCGTGCTTTGCCTATGTGTGGGAGCTCATCTTCCCCAGCTCTACTAGCACCAAAGAGGCAGAGTTTAATGGTTGATTGGCTACTGCTACAATTTGGATAAAGTCTGCCTAAGTATGTATGTGAGCCCAGGTCCAAACTTTAACCTTGCAGCTGAAAGCAGTGTTGCACTAACTGAGCTTGTGAAAGCAGGTATACCGTGCGCGGTTTTGCAGGCACAGGCATTCCATAACAGTAACTAAATAACCTGGGAATTTGCATAATTTAAATCCTTGAATTGTGAACTTGATTCAAAACTTTATTCTGGAGAGGAGACGGGGAAAGGGAGAAACTACTGGTAGTGCAGTAGTTAGGCTACATCTTCAGCTAATTAGGGGGGTAGGGGTGTGTTAGTAATTGGTCAAGTGAACAGTACTTCCCATCTGCCCTGAGCCAGTCAGCAGCACTGTCTCCAGTATGTGTGGGACCGGGAGTTTGTAATTGTTGGGGAAACTCGTCTTGCTGTCAACAGTGGTTTTGTTACAGTGAAGACAGTAAGATTGAGTTCTTAATCAGTCTGAGCTATAATGAAAACAGTTTCCAGCTGTTTTTTAATTCTTGAGACCTACAATTATCTAAATACATTATGTCTGTTGAGCTATTTCTGGTTGCTATTTGATCGTATAACATTAGCCGGCAAAAATACACTATTATTATATGAACTTGTATACTCTGAAGCCTTGTGTGTAAGACAAACAGGGAAATGAGCATTTTAGTAAAGATTTCAGTGACGCCAGCTTTACATAGTACCTGTACATCTTGAAAACACAGTCTTATTCTGTTAGTCTTTGTAGTTCACTTGCTACTGCTTCAAGAAGTTCATTGCATTTTCTTTAGTACCGCCCTTTTTCTTGCCCAGCACAATGTGTATTAGTGCTGCTTTAAAGAAGGGTGTTAGGCTTTTTTCACGGCTACCAATTCTAACTGACATGTTTTATTTTCTGTTTCTTCAAAGGCGAGAAACCTTATCACTGTGACTGGGAAGGCTGCGGATGGAAGTTTGCCCGATCTGATGAACTTACTCGTCACTACAGAAAACACACAGGCCACCGCCCTTTCCAGTGCCAGCGGTGTGACAGAGCATTTTCCAGGTCGGACCACCTCGCCTTACACATGAAGAGGCACTTTTAATTGGAAGCAGTGGATCTTTCCCCGACTGCCATAAGAGGTTCAGTATTTACAGCACAAGGACTGTCATCCGCAAGATGGGGAGAACACAGTTTAAGCACTACAGATAATCAAGGTGAAGTCTTCTCAAGAGTGGAAAAGAGGGATAATTGCATACAGACATTGCAACTTTTTTTTAGATACATACATTTAAAAGAAAAGAGAACCAAAAACATTGGGGTCAATGACTGGATCTTCTATCATTCCATTTGTAAATCCAACTTGAATTATTTCCGGACTACAGAATGCCAAGGAGTGACTGGAAGTCACAGATATCAGGGTTAAACAGACTGTGTAGTTCGGAGGGTGGGGATATTACACAGGGAAATTACATTCCCTTAATTTTCTTTCAATGCAATATTAGATGTAAATGTCATCTTGTACTTTCCTTTTTTTTTTTCCTTCTAAAAGCCATTACAATGTTAAAAGAGGAGGAAAAATTCAGGTACAGAATTATATTTTAAAAGCCTATTTCATGGTGCTTAGTGACTGTTGGTTCTAGAGGTACCAAAAACAGGAAGCCAAAGTTCTCAAACTGCTGCATATCTGACAAGGAAATATTTTTGTCTTCTGATCGCCAATTATGACCTAAATCAGGTAAATAAACCTGGTTTATCTTTTTTTTTTTTTTTTTTAAGAGAAAATAACTTTATGCAGACAGTCTGTAATGCACTGTGGTTTCGATGTGCAATAGTTTGTACAATGGTTTATTCCCAAATATGCCTTAAGCAGAACAAATGTTTTCTATATAGTTCTTTACATAATAAATATGTAATATAAATTTAAGCAAACTTCTATTTTGTATATTTGTAAACTACGAAGTAAAAATGAACATTTTGTTGGAATTTGTATTTTGCATATTCAAGTGGAAAATAAGTTTTAAATAAACCTATAATATTTTATCTGAATGGCTGTTCTAATTTTCTTCTGTGCATGGATATGTCCAAAGAAAGGTAATTGAGTTTCCCAAGGCAAGGGAGGGGGCGGGGATGGCAGAGAAGGCCTGTAGTCTCAAGGCTCTGAAAGGTAGGATTGTAACACATCTTTATAGGGAAAAGGGTGTATTGAAAATTTTTGCTCTGACTATAGAATTGCCACGTCTCACCTGCATGATGAAACTAATTTACCATTTTTAAGGTAACTCAGTTTGAATTATTCATAAGAGGAACTGTGATCTGTGGGGGACATTAGACTTTGCATATTCAAAGGCAACAAATTCTAGACATTTTTTTGCAGTGGTCTTTTCAGCATGAAAAATTTCTAGCTTCATCTCTTGGGCTTCTCAGGTATGCTGGTGTAACCACTCTGATGTGAGTGAAGGAAAATCAACTGAGCAATGTTGCAAAGAATAAACTTGACTCAAGGAATAAAGAGCGTGTGCATAAAACACCTTTAACAATAAACTACATGGAGTTTCTTTTGAAGCCTGCTCTGTCCTGGGAATTCAGTAATTTGGCAGTATCTGAGGAGCCAAAATTTCTGCAGGAATCCCGGTATGCATATGTAACTTGGAAATGCTGACCCTGCAGAGTCTGCAAACTGTGTAGCTGTGCCCGTGCTGTGTTGATGTAAGGTCCCCAGTGCACCTTCAGTTGCATGCTGCTGCAGTTAAATGCAGCGAGCCTCCTGCATGCCTCAGGTCATTACCATTTTTGTTGTAGCTGGCCCTAGGGACCTCATTGCTCTAGTTTCTTTACAGATGTGTAGCAATAAGATGATTTCAACATGAGTGCCTGATGAATAGGACCTGTTTTTCTCCCTGCTCTTTGTAAAGAGAAGAAAGAAATGATTCCTCTTCTGGTTTAAAATGTCAGCCAGCTAGGAATTTGGATGTATGTAGAGTTAAATAAAGCTGAGCATGGCAAACACATTACAGGCAGGAGCCATTCACATTTTTGCAGTACTTAAAACAAGAGTGGCAATATCAACTTCTTGTTCCCAAACACACATTAGGAATGCTATTAAATTTCACATTTTGATGTGTTCTTTGTGTGGTGACTGGTGCCGTTTCTTTCTAAGTCTGTGTAAGTACCATAATGATGTAGAAAATATTTCTCACCCCTTATCTCCTAGGCATACATTGTTCAACTGAAAGCTATCTTTGTTGGTTTGGTTTATAGGTAACACAGGGAGTAGGGAATGTCTTGTTTGGTTTGCAAATACCAAGTATTTAAAGCTAAATTAAAGTTATGAGTCATCCTTTATCTGAAGCTTTTTTTCATGTGAAAACTTTTTACAATTAAACCAGTAATTTTTTACCTCCTCTGTTGCTTCACCTGTGAGTTCTGGATGAGAGATCCAGGGTCCGTGTTGCAACTGGCAGCAGCGTGTGCCTGAAGTGTGCTGTCCCGTCTCGATAATGCTGGAGCACGCTTGTGTAGCTGCGGTATCACCTCTGTCTGAACGGCTGCCATTCAGCACGTTTTACATCTGTGGAAGGTCTATGTCCTAACACATCCCCAAGCACTGAAACATGAAGATTTCATCTGAGAAACTAGTTTCTTTCGCTTTTCGAGTGTTCTGTCATTATGCAGCCTTAAGAATTTTACAAGATGCTCTAGCATTTAGTATTTCATTTTCTGCTTGATGGTTTTATAGACCCTAGGTTTATAGTTGCACGAACAATGGCATTCTTGACTCAGGGCTTTGTTCTCTTCTCCTGCATATTTGGCTGGTTTGGGGTTTTTGTGTGGGTTTTTTTTTTTTTTTTTTAACTTTTTCACCTGATCCTAACCAAACTGCCCTCATGTATGACTTTCTTTCCAGACCTAAATGGGCACAGTTGTAGCTTGGTATTTAAAAAGAAATGCTGCTGTTGCTTTAACCATTTCCAAAATGCTACTCCCATACTTTTGGGACCGGAGCCAACACTCAATTTTTGCTGTGCAACATGCAAGCCCATGAGAGGCAGTCCTTGTTCTTAAGGAGGTCTCTGGGGGAAATACTGAAATCAGCAGTTGCGCCGATAAGTTAGAGCTAGAAACAGCACACTGTGTTCGCCACCTGTTTCATTGTGTCTTGTGTCCTGGAGTTGCACTTAGGTGCAAGATGGAACACAGATGCAGTGGAACAACACATATCAAAAAACGTATCTCGTAAAACATATGTAAAACACCAACTAATCTTGTAAGCGTGTCTTGAAAAACAAGATTTGTTTAGTGTTACTAAAGCTACTTTGCTCAGGCTGGGACATCTAAAAACAGGATTTGAGGTTATTAGGGGTGGCCTCTCTGACATGGGGTGAGCACCTCCAGAGCTGCCCCAGAGCACTGTTTTAGCTACTCAAGGGAAAAGCTCTCGTGGCAGAGAACGATCTCTGCAGTCAAACTACAGCCATCCTTAATCCTCACCCCTAGCCCAAATCTCTCTCAAGCATATTTAACATGTGAAGATGGAGCTGCTTAAAACAAGATGGCACATGTCTGCCTACCAAGTGCCAAATATTCAAAAGGCATCGGAATAAAAATCTTCTCAGAGCTGCAGTGCTTCTGTGCACTTGTCTGCTGCACACCACAGGCTGGAATTTCGCACGCTTCAGGCTTGGTCTCACTGTTATCCAGCACAAAAGCCTTCAGCTTTCCCCTGTCACATGAAGGTGTATTTGCAAGAGAGTTGCTCGTCTCCTGGGGAGTTTACCAGATCCTGCCACTGCTGAAGTCAACTGCAAATCTCACAAGGATTTATATTAAGCTGATATGAATCAGTGCATTTCATTCTCCTCTTTAATAAGGGGAGATCAGAGACTCCTGTGGTTAATCACCCCAAGTGCTAACGGTTCAACTCAATTAGTTTACACAGTTTTCCTATGGGAGTGTGCTAGATATTAGAGCTAGCCTGCTTCCACTGAAGTCCCTGGCAAACACTTTAATGGCATTTGAATGCAAGAATTTCTAAATTAACCCAGTTGCAAACTGTGTTCCTCCCTGAGCTTTCCTCCTTCCTGAGTGTGATCGAGTTGTGTTCTCTAAAGCAGCAGGAGAATAGGAACGAGTTAGGAATGGGGACGGACAGATCAGTAGTTACATTGGTAGGATTCTGGCAAGAGTCTGGATGTGGTAGGAGTCCTGGTTGGAAGAAGTAAAGCCAAGGTATAGTGAGCAAAACTCAGATGGAGAGGAAGAGGAACGCCACCACCATCAGCCATGCTGCCACATGTTGACTCATACTTGACAGGAGAGCTCCCTAGAATAAATAGCTGTGTATAGGCTCAGTGGATATATCTTTGGAGACCAAGAAGATGAGTATTTACATAAAAGAGGGGAAGGCCCATCATTCACCGAAATTTAATTGAGGTCACATTGGCTTGGAGCCACAGGGTAACACACCCACATTCCCCTGTCTGCCGTACACCTGGATGACTCATATTTCATCTGCCCTTCACTCCTCTTGTGACTTACCAGGGGACGTTTTCATGACTGCTGAGGGCATTGCCACCAAGTGCAATAGTTGTCTCTGCGGCATGGAAGTGGGTGGTGGTGGTGGTTCTGCAACCTTGTTCTCCACCCTGGCTGCATACAGGTATCTGTTAGTCTCTTTTTCACCTTTGGATGCTTACTTGTGAGCCCTCAAGGCTAGAACCTTAATGGTATGAAAGACAGGAGGGGAAAAAGTGGCTTGTGGTTTATTAATGTTTATTCTGTATGTGTGCCCATAGTTTTACAGAAGTTGAACGGCCGTAGTAGCTTCTCACAAGAGGTATTAGGCAGCTGGACCTTGTTGCTTTGGTGATGCTTTCTGGACTCTGTGAGCTGTGACTCATTTTGTAACTGAGATAGTGATTTTCACATAGGCCTGGTCAGCTCAGGGTCAGCTTTGTGACATGCTTATTAACAAGAAGTTTTAGGGAACACACCGAGGTCCTTTCACTCTGAAGCTTGGGTGAGCAGAAAGGTAATCATGTGCTGCTACCACTAGCAGCCATCTTGCTGTAACTCTGAAAAGTTTTGCATGGTTTTGCTTTGGGTACAGCACATTTGTTTATCAAGCACAAGCTAAGGCTTGCTTAAATCTTGCCATTCAAGTTCTCTGCTATTAAGCTTTCAGGCTTTATTCAACAAAATGATACAGCTTCCCTGTATTGGCTGGCTGAAACCCCTTAATTTTAGAAACAGATATCCTGCAGTTACTCAGAATGATTTCCCCCGCTGCCACAGCAGTTAGAAATGGTCTGACGGGCAACGCTGCACAACCAGCACACAGTGGTCTTATTTATTTACCGGGATTTATTTACCGGGAGCCTCCTCGATGCTGTTCAGTGTCTGTTTGTGCATACCCTACTGCTGTTGCCTTCATGGTTGGCAGAAGCCGAGTGTCAGGTCTGCTTTGTCCTCCCACCCCTAGAAAGGTGTGGGAAGGCTATCCCATTTTGCTGGCCTGGGGAAGGAGGCTTGCAGTTTCCACGTGGAAAAACTTGCTTCCCGAGGCTTTTGCCGCTGGCTTGCCTGAG